TCAGAATAATATAAATATATAATAATATATATCATATGTATAGATGCACGTACAGGCAAAATATACAGTATTACAAATGTACCTTCATCAGTCGCCAGTTTTTATATAATAATTATATCACTATAATAAAATAATATCAAAGTATATGATAATACATGTATGAATATATATTCTGCATATAATTTGATACATATACTTGCACAGTTATTTTGAATATTACCAATGGCACAGAAGAACTTAGGAGGGCGCTGTCTATTTAACAGCGTCACCACTCCACTGCTCCCTGATATGCATAGATGATGGGTTTGTTGACATTGTTCGAAGCTCGTTCAAACTGTGGGCGTATTTTTAATCCTTTGTATGAACTCGATCTCTTAAAACCCAGCTCCTTTGCTTTTGGTGATTGAAGGTAGTTGATAATGTCCATAAACATTCTTTGTCGGTGGTTTGTATTGTGTTGTCTAAAAAAGAATAAGGTCATGCAATAATGAAATAACCATAGGCAATCTTATCAACTAGATAAAATGTTGTTACTTCTTAGTTATAAAAATATAAAGAATCCTCTATTATAGTGCCAGTATCCGTCACATATATTTATCCTTATAAGTCTTTAACAAGTGTTAACATGCTGAGTTCGGTATATTTTGATTGGCTGAGAGGTGTTTGTTTTTTTATGTACTAAGACATACCTTTGTAAGTTCAACACATTAATGTCACGCCAAAATTGATAATATAGAATGCATGATACGTAGGTATGACTTATACATGAACTCCCCAACTTTAAGAGGATATTAGTAACAGTGTGCGACTTATCCAACACTGAAAATGCACTCTTGATTTGTGCGAGATCTATGTACATAAATAAACAGAATATTTTACAGCTCTATCAAGTCAAACCATACCATAATCGAGAGCAGTGCTTAGTGGGGGGAAAAAAATCATGAAACAAATAAAACGTTAAAATACCTTTTTTGGATGCTGATGATGGTAGTTATAATGGGAGTTTGCTATACTCGGTAGCATACTTGGTGCGTGTATCTTTGGTAATGCACTAGGATTAAATCCAGAATGCTGGTACCTATGGTTGACGGTTGACTGGACCGGGTTCATCTTTGGTAGTAGGTTACCGTGGAAATTTGTACTGGTATCTGGGTAGTTGCGTCCCCTCCGGCGCTTTAAAAAAATTAAATGGAAAAAAATTTGTAAAAATATTTTATACAGTATTTCCACCTGGGTGCTGTGAGCGTCTTAACCTTAACAACCGACCCCAGGGGAGGCACCAGAAATTTCTAGACAAAGGGTCCAGGGGAAAAACGGCATGACCAAGATCCCCAAAGGGAATCACACCAATCTCAGCTCCACCATGGTTAAAGCATATTTTAAGAAATATGCACCTAACCGGAAATGGCACTGTAAAAATGCTTTCTCAAAGCAGTTCCCCTAACAAAAATATTGGCTTTACCCCACAAAGATCTGTGCCCTCACCATGCTTGACTATATTATCAAAAAAAATTCTTACCCTTCTTCGCTGTAAACTTTGCTGGATCGGGTCAACAACAGATATGTGGGTAGTGGTTGTGGCAGGACCTGTAGTTGCGTGAACCGACTTTCTCTCGTTCTTTTCATCTTTTTCTTGTTCTAGCTTCTCTAACTGCTGTTTCTTTTTCTCAGCCTCTCTGCATATATTTAGGAATATTCATAAGTATCAGTTAATGAATATTCATAGTATCAAAATTTAATGAATATTCACTGACAGGTATCAATTTATGAATATTCACATGTTGTATTTCTAAGATGAGTGGTTTTTTTTTTATCAACTTGTGTCTTTTTGATTAAATTATCAAAGATTGGATTCCAATTTTCTACATAACAGCAAGACATTCAGAGTTTTTCCCAAGTTTTTTTGTCATTATTATTATGTGAATATTCAATTGATGCCAAACTATTATTTCTCATACAATTTCAAAATCAAACTTGCTCTAAGCATACAGAAAAGTTTTATAATCATAGGTATACTAATGGCCTGATTGGAAAATTTATGGACTATAGATTATGTGCGATCTCACAGCAATAACTGTGATGCACATTCTCTGACCTTGGGAATATAATTTTATCGATGAAAGAGGAATAAGCAGCAATTATGTTGCATGTGGGAAAACATTTTAGAACTCAAGTCAAGGTAACGTAATTGTTAGATGTCATAGTTAGCAAAGGTCAATGCTATTGTACACTCTGCGTCTCAATGTAATTGACGTAATTGCTGCACCAGATCTCATAATAAAGAGCGCTCTAAAGGTCATAATGCGAATATTTTAAGTGGCTTTCTTATGATATGATGTCATAATCGGTGTACAAAGATCAATAATAGCTTCTAATGCATGTATTGCATCACAATCAATGGATCTAGGTCAGGATGTTTCTTTTTAATCAGGATTAGACCTAGGAATGTATTCTTTGAAAATCTATATTTTTAGAAATATGTAAAATATAATTTCTTTAAAAAAATTGTTTTAGAACTATAGAAAATCACAGGTGAAAATCTCCATTGCTAGAGAAATATTAAAGGGCTCTTATTTAAATGCAATTTAATAAATGAGACATTTACAAAAAAAATGTGTGAAGTCTGTTTCACAATCAGGTAGGGGTATTCCTATTGCAAAACATCATTGACAATACTTTACATTAATGAAGTAGACCAAAAGGCCAAGAATACAGTTTCAAAGTGATTTCAAAGATGGAATTTTGAGGTCAGAGTTATGTCAATAAGTAGTTTTCGCCGCACGACGTTAACCTTAACTTTAACGTTAGCACTCAACATGCAGCGCGATAGCTCCGCCCCTTTTGTAAACGAATTGAAATATGCATGTGCAAACCGGTAAATAACGTACATTGAGCACGTAAAATCCTGAAATTAAAGTACTCCGCAACACAACTTGAATAAAATATACGACGTCTTCCGTTAACGTTAAGGTTACCGTCATGTGGCGAAAACTGCCTATTAGTTCTGACCTCTGACCTGATACACATGGAATAAATATTCCACTTTGAATAGATAAACAATAAAAAACAAGTTCATACTAACTTGAAGTCTTTGAAATAAGAATGCCTAAGTGCTTGTTTTGCTGATATCCTCTCTTCTGGATCGTATGTACAACACTGGTAGATTAGTTCAATACTTTCTGCTGATGCATGTTGTAACAGTTTTTCAATTCCGGTCCCCTTCTTTTGAGGAAAGTTGAAGTTCAACCCACGAGTCTTGCTGTAAAAATCACACAGAAAAATTATATATATATATATATA